GACCTTAACAATTACATTGACATAAATAAAGGATGCAGAAGGACAACAGGGGTATGTTTTCTGAAGCCTGCTCGAGGAACGTATGATTGCAAATATTTTCATCTCAAATCCACTCAAAAAGTTCATGATGGTTGTTGCTAATGTCTCTATAACTTTTTTTAGCCCATGAACGTAACAACCCTCAGCACTTGGATGCCAGCACAGTAAAAGAAATTCAAACAAGATGCATATAAAAAGAACAGAATTATTAAAAAAAAAAAAAAAAAAAAAAAAAAAAAATAAATTTGAAAATGAAAATGAAGTTAGACCACTCCGGAGCGAGTAAAAGGCAAATATGGATATAACCAGAGGGGGAATTAAACAAATAAACAAATGCTGAATCTTTTATGCATCTAACTATGTTACAATTCATCCTTAAGATGGGCGCGGGTGGGCTTGCCGCTGTCTTTATCGAGATTCACGCCGTTCTTCTTGCGCCATTTTTCGAATAGCGCGAAAAAGTCCTTTTCCATCCCTTTCTCCATTTGGTCTGGGAGGACGACAGTGTATTCGACGTAGAGACTACCATACTCTTCGCCGTGGTCATGAGCGTTCATATGACCATCGTGCCAGATGGGCATGCCTTCACCTTTTATAGTTTCGACGGAGAGGGGTTGAACTACCTCGCCCCGTTTCCGACGCAACTGGACGACATGGCCGTCCAGGTGTGTGATGTTGCGCGTCCAGTCTCCCATCCATGCTTCTCGGAGACTGAGAACTTCTCTCCAAAACAAGTCGTCATCCTTCCGTCGGAAGAACGTACCATCAGTTCGGTCGTTCTCGGCTTCGAAAATCGCTGGTTCCCTCTCCTCAAGATTAATAACCAGATCGCCGGCTATCCAGTCGGGGCTTTCATCTGCCTCGTTTTCAAACGTTATCTTGGTCCCTTTGGGCATCCCCCTCTCTATCGTCACTGACATTGGGACGGCTTTCTTCACAACGCGCTGACCATGGCATACGGGACAGGGACGCCGTATTGTCTTCCCTTGTCCGCCACACTTATCGCAATGCATTTGAACCTGCTGGAAAATCCCCGGGGCCAGCATATGCTTTTTGATCACCGCTCCCCTACCTCCACACTGATGGCAGGTCTCGACCTCCCCATCAGCAGACCCAGTCCCCTCACAAGCTTCGCAGATCTGTTGTTTTTCCACTTCAAAAGTCGCCTCTCTGCCATTATAGAAATCCCTGAGAGGCACTGAGAGGCGAACTTCCATAGCAGGCCCATGGCGTTGGCCGGGGGAATGGCCAAAATGTCCACCTCCTCCGAAGAAGCGTGAGAAAATATCGAATGGGTCATGTGTTCGTCCTCCGCCTTGCTTATGCTGCTCTAGTCCTTCATGTCCATACTGGTCGTAAATTTTCCTTGTCGAGGGAGTGGATAGGACATCATATGCCTCGGCTATATCGACAAATTTTTGATGCGCTGAATCGTTTCCGCTAGAAGGGGAGAGCAAAATGGGCAAAATTAGCAAATGGTTCTGAACGGAGAGTTTAGGGAAAAAGAAAAAAGGGAACAAGCGCATACGGATTTTTGTCAGGATGGAACTTTTTACTTAGCGTCCGATAAGCTTTTTTTATGTCACGATCAGACGCGGACCTGTCCAGTCCTAAAATTCTGTAGTAGTCCTCCGCGCACAGCACGACGGGGAGGAGCACGAGTACGGAAAACCCCAGAAGAAAGGGGAACGCGAGCATGGCTGAACCAGCCTGGTGTCTCCAAGCCGCGAATTTTTATCTCCCCCAATGTCTCAATGAGGTGTGCCCGTGTATAGGAACCCAGTTTGTACTACCGTGGCAATTCTGGGATTTGGTCAACGATCGGAGGTATAAATCCGCCCATTCGAATGGCCCATGTAAAGAAACATAAATGAGAAGGGTATCCACGAGTGACGAAATAGTGCTGAAACAAAAAGGGCAGTGTATAGTGTTTACTCTAACTTTGAGAACCCCACGTTAAGAAAAACATCAGGAGCTGGGGGAGTGAAGGAGTGTGTAAGTAAATTAGATGACATCTGGCAGCTTTCAGGTGATTCTGTCCTGTGATAGGCTACGATAAATTGGTTGTCGCAAAACAGGCAAATAAGCCGGATTATCAAAATTCCGAGATGGGTCACGTGCACACAGCCCCTTTTAGGTGATTTGGACCTTCCAGGAATCCTTCAACCCCTATATACAATCAAATCTGAGCAGTCTGCTGCAATCTGATCAAAAAGTAATTTATGAATAATCTTTTTTCATTTAGAATTAGCTGTAAATGTAATGAAAAGAGTTGAGTGTTTATAATTGAAGATAATTATTATAGAATTCTGAAACAATTTATACATAAAACATTCATTGTCTGTATAAGAAGTAGATAATATTATATAATAATCAAACTGCTCACAATTCATATCATCTGTCTGTATAACATCACATAGATCACTATATTGATCAACATAGATTTTTAATTAATGAGTCTATGTATATTACAGTTTTTTTTTTTTTTTTTTAATAAAAATTTTTTCATTCTCTTCTTGTACTTGAAATCTGCTATGATGAATTTGAATAAATTTAGCAAATTTCATTTCAGATATATTTTTATTTAGAAAAAAATATTTTAATATACTTGAAATATGATATATATACTTCTATTATAATATAGAACTCATATCTATTATGATGTTGAAGATATTCATGTTTTTCTATAAGTACTGTTTATATGATGAATCCATACAAAAGATACCAATTCCGTTACGGTGTGAATTCCTTTACAGTGTGGCGCAC